TTGAACAAACTTGAATCCCCTTTACCCAAGGATACTTTGTGCCAAGTTTGATTGAAATTGGCCCAGTAGTTCTGGAGAAGAAGATGAAAATGTGAAAAGTTTACAACAACGACAGACAACAGACAAATTTCGATCAGAAAAGCTCACTTGAGCCTTCAGCTCAGGTGAGCTAAAAACCCCTTATTTATATAGAAATACACATGTATCCTAACTCCTAACTTTTAGATTTATGGCCTAATAAATTTAACAGAGCAACAGACGATGACAATTTATAGTCAAAATGCTTAATATCTTAACATAATTTCTAGGGGTGCAACCTGTTAAATACCTAATAAACCTTTATTAAAGTGAGAGAACTTACAGCAAATTAATGCTTTCCAAGCTTCCCCACATGTCTAACAGTTACACAGGTTTATATACCCTTAGGAAACAATAGAAACTTTAATTTAAAATCTAGTTAATACACCCCAAGGGTATGAACTTTGACTGAAATTAGTAACACCCAAAAGTTAACTTCCGTATTGATAGCCAATGAGAATTTAGATCATCAAACGTAAACATTTACCTGTAAGATTTGATGGAAGCAACACGTGCTATTATCTGAGAAGGTTTGTAAATAAAAACAAATGATATGGGGAATAAGTCAGTATACAACTATATGTATGAAAACATTTATAACGACATTACATTTAAAATACAAGGCATAAATTTATATAATTTAATTTTGTTTGTATTCTAGCCTCTGATTGGTTAATATCCAAAAAGGAACACAAATTATTTCTGTATAACCTGGTTTGGTATGGGGACACACCCCCCTGACAACCAGCTGAATCATCTGTATGCATACAATCCTCTCATTTCCAGTCCTCGGGATTCATGGAAAATTCCAGATTTAATAAATATACCTTTAACTTCAAACAATAATTCGATCTTACCACATGTAAACAAGCTGCTAGGCCTATGTATCAGTTTTTACCTCCCCTCGCTTCCCATCACTTCCGTTACTTCCGTTACTACGGTTGTATTATTGAGCGGCAAATTTGAACTAATAAAAAGCAACGAAATTTTACACATATTTATTTAATGATTTTAAAATTAAATTATAAGGAATGACTCTAATTCTTGGCCAAATTATTCGAGTATAACCTGGTTTGGGTCAGTTTACGCTGTTTTATAATCCGCTTCGCGGATTATAAAGCGTAAACTGACCCAAACCAGGTTATACTCGAATAATTTGGCCAAGAATTAGAGTCATTCCTAAAATAACAAAATTCATTCCTGCTACAGATGAGTATTTACTCAATACTGAGAAACAAGAGACCCAAGGGCCTTAATGGTCACTTGAGTATAATACAACACTGTAAATGGTCCATAGTATGAATACAACAAAATAAACTGATAGATGAAGATATTTTGTCCAGAAGAAATAGGATGGTCAGGGATCAACAAAATAGTTATTTAAGTATTCAGTTACATATAAAGTAGATTTATTTACCTGCCCTTACTTGTCAGTGCTTTTGCACTCCCATTTATTACTATCACCATGCAGTCTAAACAAAACAATTGTGCTTGAGCACCTGTAGTAAACCCATCACATACCCTTTACATTGGCCTCTCTTGGTCATTGAAGATCATTTATTGTACAAGATGTGGTATTTTTTGTCTCATTTTCAGTGATTCATTTTGTTGTGCATCTTGGGTAAATTATGCACTAATTTTGCAGAGGATGCATGAGTTCAATAAATGTGCATCCCGATGAATGCACATCTTCGCTAGCCAAGGGTTCTGATCTGCTTCTCTTCTCATAATCCCTTGGCCTATGGTGCTGTCAAAAGTTGGGATTTTTTTCTCGAGTTGTGATTGGAGTTGATTGATATAGTTCGACCAATCAACAATTGTTTTTTGTAAATGACGATATCTGCGTTCGGGGTATATCTTGACTCTTTAGTCATGGGAATGAAAAACTCAAGTAAACAACGATCTGTAAGATAACGTCATTCTATAAATAGTTATGGTGTGCAAATAATGTGACCTGGAATCTATATTATAGATGTAGATTTGCACCTAAAATAGAAAGTAAACATCACTCAATACCTTCTTGTTAATTATTCTCTAAAAACTTTAATGTTTAAATTTGCTTTTTATTTTTGTCGATGACGCAATCTGTGCGTATGTGGTAAGATTCGAGATCACGTGACGTAAACATTTCCCGTCCTTTGACAGCACCATATGCCAAGGGTTTGTGAGGAGAGTAGTGGATCAGAAACCCTTGGCTAGCGAAGATGATGAATGCAATAAAATAAGAAAGAATGTATTGTTTCCAATATTTTTGGGGCATACAAAATTATTGATTATAGCAATTTCTGGACATATTCTGGTATTATACCATATACAGTAAAACATGCTAAAATGAAGTGCCAGGAATGCATGATTTTGCTTCGTTATAAATGTAATTCATTATATTCTTTAAGTTCACAAAATTATATTAAAAAAACCACAGGGAATGAAAATCACTTTGCTGTTAACGTCAATTCATTATAAGCGTGTTCGCTATAAGCGAGTTTTACTGTATATGGTATACGGCTACCTGGCCAACAATACAGGTCAGGTTTCACAACTCACTGTTATCATGGTTATTGCAGTTAGCAAGCAATTATCAGAAAAGTTTAATTATATCTACTGTAAAAAAAAATTAGTTTCAGAAGTTTACTAAATAATCAACAGAGTGCTGGCCTAACTCTAGAACCCCCTACTCAGTGGTCATGAAATACACAAATTTGGAAGAGACAACTTTAATCATAACCATGCATTGGTCTGCATACCCAGAAGCAAAGAAAAAGATTTTCAAAGAAATAAAATACAGTTTTACTATATAATCAAGAGAGCCCCGCCTTTTAACCAGAACCACTGACCCAGGAGCCATAAAATTTTGCAAGAGGCACCTTGCACATCTCAACCACGTACTTACATTATCTGTTCAATATACCATGATATACAGGGAAAGAGAAGCTTTTTAAAGAATTCATGCATTTTCAATATATGATCAATAGAGCCCATCCAACTCCAATACCCCTAACTCATGAATTTCACAATGCCTATTACTATACAATCATGTTAACAGTATGACTACTTGATGTCAAGTAATGAAGACAATTTTTTAAAGATAGAATTAATTTTGATGGTTTTAGCCCCACCCCTCAGGCCTCTGGAGAGAGGAGACCATGAAAATTACAATTTTTAAGTTTCCCTTTACCCATAGATGCTATATGCCAAAAATGGATGAAAATGGTTCAGCGGTTCTAGAAAAGAAGCTAAAAATGTTCAAATGTTAACGTACATTAGATGACTGAGAATGCACAGTAATGGAGGAAAACAGATAGCATTAAGTTAATTACCTGAGTCACTCAAAAATTTGGGGGAAAAAAGCAAATTTCAATTGGGGCAGGGTCCTTTTACTGAACCTGGATGCAGGGGTTATTATTATTATGCCCTGCTTTTCACCCAAGTTTGGTTGAAAATGGCCCAGTGGTTCTTGAGAAGAAGTTAAAAATTTACAGATGGACACCAAACAAGAGGCCCATGGGCCACAGTGCTCACCTGAGTAACTTTGGCCTTGCTGTTTTTCACCTGATTTCTCCCCCCCCCCCTTGTAGTACTTATTGTGGCCCCGCCCTACCCCCAGGGGTCATGATTTGAACGACTTAGAATCTACACTACCCCAGGATGCTTCCACATAAGTTTCAGCTTTTCTGGCCCAGTGGTGCCTGAGAAGAAGATTTTTAAAGATTTTTCCTATATATTTCAATGTAAAACTTGGATTCCCTATTGTGGCCTCGCCCTACCCCCGGGGGTCATGATTGAAACAATTTAGAATCTACACTACCCTAGGATGCTTCCACGTAAGTTTCAGCTTTTCTGGCTCAGTGGTTCTTGAGAAGAAGATTTTTAAAGATTTTTCCTATATATTTCAATAATAAATTGTATTCCCTATTGTGGCCCCACCCTACCCCTGGGGGTCATGATTTGAACAATTTAGAATCTACACTACCCCAGGATGCTTCCACATAAGTTTCAGCTTTTCTGGCCCAGTGGTTCTTGAGAAGAAGATTTTTAAAGATTTTCCCTATATATTTTGATGTAAAATTGGATTCCCTATTGTGGCCCCGCCCTATCCCCGGGGGTCATGATTTAAACAATTTAGAATCTACACTACCCCAGGATGCTTCTACATAAGTTTCAGCTTTTCTGGCCCAGTGGTTCTTGAGAAGAAGATTTTTAAAGATTTTTACTACATATTTCAATGTAAAACTTGGATTCCCTTTTGTGGCCCCGCCCTACCCCCGGGGGTCATGATTTGAACAACTTAGAATCTACACTACCCCAGGATGCTATCACTTAAGTTTTAGCTTTTCTGGCCCAGTGGTTCTTGAGAAGAAGATTTTTAAAGATTTTTACCACATATTTCAATGTAAAACTTGGATTTCCTATCGTGGCCCCGCCCTAACCCCTGGGGTCATAATTTGTACAATTTAAAATCTACACTACCCCAGGATGCTTCCACATAAGTTTCAGCTTTTATGGCCAAGTGGTTCTTGAGAAGAAGATTTTTAATGACCCCACCCCATTTTTGTATTTTCTTGATTATCTCCCCTTTGAAGGGGACTTGGCCCTTCATTTTAACAATTTCAACTCCCCTTCACCCAAGGATGCTTTGTACCAAGTTTGGTTAAAATTGGCCCAGTGGTTCTTGAGAAGAAGTCGAAAATATGAAAAGTTTACAGATGGACGGACAGATGGACGGACAGACGGACGGACAACGGGTGATCAGAAAAGCTCACTTGAGCTTTCAGCTCAGGTGAGCTAAAAATGTGATCAGAAAAGGTCACTAGCAATTTCAGTACAGGTGAGCTAAAAAGAAACATACATATACAAGACATATGCCTCAAAAGTGTTTATTATAACTAAATTTTGAATTTTTTTCAAGCATAACACAAACTCACATAGCATTCAACAGGAATATCTTGTTGAAGAATATTAGAAGCTGACTGAATTCCCCTTCCACTCCACATCTTCCATGAGACCTCAATTCTTTTATTAGGTCAGAATAATACTCAACGTAATCCAAAATTCCAGTATGCCAAATGCTAAAAATGTGCCTGTAAAAATAAAAATCATTTTACATTACAGTAAGTCAAGAATAGAGTATTTGAAAATACAGTATGAACATGATGAAATGCATGAATTTTTCTTAGGTTGATATTGAAATGAGGATAGATATTAGTTTTCTATTAGTCTGTTTTTCTTCCAGGATGACTAACTTTCATGTAAAAAGACACTAAAATTATATCAGACTGTGCTGAAATTCTTGACCACTAATGATAAATTATATAACTGTAACAGTTACTGTACACTAAAACTTGGTCACAGCGAAGTTGTGGGGACTTGTGAATTTACTTCACTATTTCCCTAATTCCTTATTACCATATAATGAATTCCTATGGCTTATTAAAGTAAATATATCCAATATTCGAAATACCCCCCCCCCCCTTCAGTGAAATACAGAATTCAGAGCTCCAGATAATTTTTTACCTCAAAGTGTATTTACTCCCTGATTTTCAAATCAATGCAGATTTTGCTTTTCAGCAAAATAATCTCAGAGTATTTTGTTAATTTATTGTTCTTTTGACATCTAATATGATATTTAGCTTGTTATCAAAATGTGTTTTTGAAAGAGGAATGTAAAAAAAAGAGACAGATTCTGCATTTATCAATTAGGTTAATGAAATTTAATAAAAAAAAAAATTGTCAGCTTTTGGCTATAATTGAGAAACATGTCGTTTTCACCAGAAAGACCATACGGTAGGCAAAGTTACCAGGGGCACACAGAACTCCATTCAAGATTAGGCCTATATCGACCGTAGCAAGAGTTACCGAGAAAAATATCCTTCCTTTGGCCAGATAAAATTAATCTTTAAATTCTCATCCCCACCTGCCCCTCTCAAAATATCCTGCCCCGTTGTTTTCTATTTTGTTTACTTGTTTGTTTGCTTTCAATGAAAAATATATAATTAGGTTTTGCTATATAAATTGTTGGCATTAATCGAGATAAAATTTTTAGAGTTACTCCCCGTTTGCATTTAAAGTCGCTTGGCGCTATTATAGCACAGGAACACATGGAAAGCAAAAAAGCAATAATTTTTATACAATTAATAAAGGTTGTCAGCGCACTTTAGATGATATTATTGCTACATAAAATGGTAAATATACAGGAACTGTTTAATAAATAGTGATAAAGGATAAATTAGACACCATGCATGTTTTGCGCAATTTTGACAATATATCGATCGATGTGTACGCGTCAAGAACGAAATTTGGATGTTATATGAACAGTGGAAATCTGTGATATTTTCAGACAAAGTATGAGTATTTAATATTCAAATCTTTCTTCCGAACTGGAAATCGGCCTAAGTTATTTTGAATACGCTTATAAATCAAAATTCCTTTTGATAAAAATTCAAACACTGAGCTGACTTCAATTCACATAATTAGTTAAATAATACTTGTATCATTCAATCCGTTGTACGCAGTACTTTAGTAGTGTAATGCTTATTTATGATTGCTAATGCGTAATTGTACACCCTGTTTTAATTTTTAATGCGTATTTTGAAAAATTCAATGCATATTTCTGCAAATACGCACCTTATCTGGAGCTCTGGAATTAAATTTTAAACAAAATTACATGTACATGTAATTTGAGAATTTTTTTTAGATGTTGAGATCTCTTGCAAAAGATATAAATAAATTTGGTTATAGCCTTCACAGTTCGCTATACATGTATCTGTAAATTCATTAAAACAAAGTTCATTTTAACCATGCATAAAATTTTACAAAGAATTGTTCAGAATTCTGCCAAGGATACCAAAACACTTCCCTATATCCGTTAATTGCCATATCCATTGCCGCATTAATTGATGTTTGCTTGCCTGATCTCTAAAATCGGTAGCCCCTGGTGTCAGGCAATGGTAATTACAGTACACACCCCTGATCCCATAAAAAATTTCAAACTATATTGTGGCTAAATCTTAACTTCAAGAAGTCATGACTAAAACAGACATCAAATGATTCTGGTGACCAATTTTGCCAATAGGCCTCTTTTCATTGGCCTAATGCATCTTCCAGGCATGGAGATCATAAGTTAATATTAAGAAGTTTGCTTAGTAAATTAGCATATCATATATACTCACCTATTAGTCGGTTTTTTGGGAGTTAAATTTTGGTCAAAAACTCTGTGTCTGACTTATAGGCGAGTCATAGAAAGATTGGTATTTTTCAGGACGACAAAAGGTAGTATTTTATAAACAATCTCGATTATTATTGTTGAACAAAGTCTTTATATTTTAAATCATTTATGTGTTCTAAGATTATGCATAAAGTACAAGTATTTATAACATTTAATAGTTTTATTTTTATCTTAAGTACGCGTTACTTATTTTTTAATGATTTAAAATTAAATATCAACGTCATTTTTTTTTTTTAAATATTGATTGAAACCAACTTAAAACATCAGACCTTCAATTTGAAATTGTCAACCAATTCTGGCAAAAAGTTGTTCCGACTTATAAGCGGGTCAATGGCAAATCCCTCCAAAATTACTGCAAAAAAGTACAACCGATTTATAGGCGGACCGACTTATATGCGAGTATATACGGTATATTAATGATATATGATACATATAAAATTGTTTAGGTTCAAGAAAGTTGCACTTTTTAATGTTATATCAGAGTTGTCAAAAAACTTTCGGTCCTGTTGGCAAGGCTGAAATTGTTTAGTCCAATTACTTACTAGAAAATGTATCAAACTGAAACAAAATGACCATTTGAAAGAATCGAGTAGGATACTATTACTTATTAGGTTTGTGACTGACTGTCTACAGAAATGTATAAGGTTGATCAATCTCATAGATGGGCAAGCTTTCTACGAGATTGATCAACTTGATATATTTCTGTAGACAGTCAGTCACAAACCTAATTAGTAATTTATTTTCTTGAGGATCATAGTGTGAGGGAGTCATCACACAAGACAGGCCTGTAGCAACATTTATCAAATGGGGGTAAGGGGCAGCCACCAAAAAAAAAAATGATAAGCCAGGGAAAAAAACATTGACTGTTAAAACTCAGGAGGGGTTAGAAAATTCCTCTAAATTGTTTGGAAATTTTTAATGCAATACATGGCACTCTTTCCACTCTACTCATTATGCCATCCGACAACAAGTTCACAACAAGCGAGTTTATTGGACTGTAGAGACGACTATAAACGGTGGTGGATAAAATATACAGTTTGGTTATAGAATATGTCTAGAATTAGGGGAGGAAAGGTCGTTCATTGACCAATGTTGGAAATACATCCCCAAAGTGCGCAGAAAATTTTGCACTGTAAATTGCACTTTATATTTACATTATGGGATCTGTAGCGTTATGGTCAAAGACTAAAATATAAAACCATGATGCTACAGTTCTTATGGAATGCCATAGTTGCCTTATGTGGTTATTTCATGAGAAGGTGGTGCTTTTTTATGTTATGCTGTGGTTATTTTATATGAAGGTGGTACTTTTTTATGTTATGCTGTGGTTATTTCATGTGAAGGTGGTTTTTTAATTTGATGGTGGTTTTTTATGTGAAGGTGGTTTTTCATGTGATGGTGATTTTTCATGTGATTTTATGTTTAATGTGAAGGTGGTCACTCAGAACTCCTAATACTTTTGAAGACTGAGTTCACATGTAACACTGAGTTTAACTGCAGCTGTTATCTTGAAATTTTGAAAGTGAAACAAATGATCAATATTATTAGAATCATTTTAATATGCCATTGCAAGTTCCTCTTTTTGCCACAGTTAAAATGATATTGTCCTACGGACTCGGTACGACAGTTGCAATCTTCAATTTTACGTGGTGCCCGGCTCGGTTCACACTTGAAGATGAAGGTTTGACAAGTGAAAAATATGCAGTAAACTGAGAGTGACACCCTAATCACATAAATAATGAACACATGGCATGATCACGGCATGACCAAAAGAATAAGGCGTTGATTTTTTTCAATAAAAAAAAAACCCAGCAGTCCTTTGAGTTTTTGTAGCATAATAATTTGTAAATAACAGGTATATATCTATGAGAAAATGTTTTAGTTCATTTATACTTTCAGGCTAATCAATTTGTTGTGATATCGTCAACAAAGTCTGTTGTGAAAGTTGTTATTTTTGCAGACTGATTTGTGCATTTCAGTAATACCTATCTCATTATGTGTTCAGAAATATTGATAGTGTGCATTTCTAGTTATGCTCACTGATATAGAGATGTTCAGAGTTGAATATAATGTGTAACATGAGTATGATGACATGTGTGTAAACTTACCAAAGTTTTGAGTTCTATAAATGTAACAGGAAAGATAACTCTGAAAAAAGAACATTTTGAAAATGATTTTTCTACATCAATAAAATTGATTTTTATTTAATTTCTTGTAGTAATTTATATCATTAATGTTTCTTCTATACCATGTATACTACCAGGAATCTTCCCTAATTTTTCATGCATGTATTTTAGAGAAAATGAGTAATATTGATTTTTTTAAAACTTTTATTAATTTCTTTAAAAAAAAATGTTGATTGATAAAATGAAGTTCTCATGGTTGTTTTGTGAGCTTAAAAATATCTGCCACGACAAAAAAAAAAACAAAATTTGTTGTGCTATTTATCAAAACTTGATGGGAAAGAAAAATCTTAAAACTTAACAAGAGGCCCATGGGCCACATCGCTCACCAGAGTAACTTTGACCCTGCTGTTCATTACCAGACTTTCCCCCTTGTAATACCTATTGTGGCCCCGCCCTACCCCCAGGGGCCATGATTTGAACAATTTTAGAATCTACACTACCCCAGGACGCTTCCACATAAGTTTCAGTTTTTCTGGTCCAGTGGTTCTTGAAAAGATTTTTTAAGATTTTTCCTATATATTTCAATGTAAAATTTGGGATTCCCTATTGTGCCCCCCCCCCCATCCCCGGGGTCATGATTTGAACAATTTAGAGTGTACACTACTTGAGAATGCTTCCACATAAGTTTCAGCTTTTCTGGCTCAGTGGTTCTTGAGAAGAAGATTTTTAAAGATTTTTCCTATATATTTCAATGTAAAACTTGTATTTCCTATTGTGGCCCCGCCCTGCCCCCGGGGGTCATGATTTGAACAATTTAGAATCTACACTATCCCAGGATGCTTCCACATCAGTTTCAGCTTTTCTGGCTCAGTGGTTCTTGAGAAGAAGATTTTTAAAGATTTTCCTATATATTTCAATGTAAAACTTGTATTTCCTATTATGGCCCCGCCCTACCCCCGGGGGTCATGATTTGAACAATTTAGAATCTACACTACCCCAGGATGCTTCCACATCAGTTTCAGCTTTTCTGGCTCAGTGGTTCTTGAGAAGAAGTTTTTTGAAAGAATTTTCCTATATATTTCAATGTAAAACTTGTATTTCCTATTGTGGCCCCGCCCTTCCCCCAGGGGTCATGATTTGAACAATTTAGAATCTACACTACCCCAGGATGCTTTCACATCAGTTTCAGCTTTTCTGGCTCAGTGGTTCTTGAGAAGAAGTTTTTTAAAGATTTTTCCTATATATTTTAATGTAAAACTTGGATTCCCTATTGTGGCCCGCCCTACGCCCGGGGGTCATGATTTTAACAATTTAGAATCTACACTATCCCAGGATGCTTCCATGTAACACGTAAGTTTCAGCTTTTCTGGCCCAGTGGTTCTTGAGAAGAAGATTTTTTTATGACCCCACCCTATTTTTGTCTTTTCTTGATTAGCTCCCCTTGTAAGGGGACTTGGCCCTTTATTTTAACAATTTAAACTCCCCTTCCCCCAAGGATACTTTGTACCAAGTTTGGTTAAAATTGGCCCAGTGGTTCTTGAGAAGAAGTTGAAAATGTGAAAAGTTTACAGACGGAGGGACGGACGGACAGACGGACGGACGACGGACAACGGGTGATCAGAAAAGCTCACTTGAGCTTTCAGCTCATGTGAGCTAAAAAATTAAACTAAAAAAAAAAATCAGTATAAATTAAATTAATTATATTTCAATTCCTAGCCAGTTTTAAAGGTTGATAAATACGCTTGTTAAAAGTAATGCTCAGAAATATGAGAATATAAACTGGGTGTGTGTGGAGGACCCTTGAAGACTCTCTGTCCTTAAAGAAAAGAAAACTGTGAGATGGGAATGCTGTTGAAAACAATAAAGGGCAATTTAGTGCAATTATTTATTTTCCTTTCTGTGCATGTAACTGGTCTGACAAAACTTCACACAGTACGACAACACCTTTAACTTTGTCAGAACAAATGTCAATTTAAAAATTTCGATAATAAATACATCCCCCCTTTCAGTGAAATATAGAATACAGAACAAAGAGTAAAAGACTATAAATGAAATCATACCAGGAGAGATAATCCACTGATGATGCAGATCCTTTTGTTGACATTTCCTCTTTAATATTTGCTATTACAGTGCCCACTGTCCAATCCGACAACTGTGCAATCCGGCACACTGGACTTTCCGACCTCATATTTTATTCCCAAAAATTTCTTTAAATTTTATATAGAACAAAACACTGTATATTCCGACCACTGTACATTCCGAATTCCGGCGCTTTTTTTGTCATCAAAACTAGATAATTACATTACGATTTCACCTGGGTAATCCGACATAATTACACGGGTGTTCCGTAATTAGCCGCAGGCCAGGTGACATGAATGCCCCGTTTGGCCACAAGATTGGTCTACTTAGAAAGTAGTTAATTACATGTAAGTTTGAAAGTGTTTATGTAAGCGTTAAATGATCAGTTTTTAAATTAAAAAAAAAAATAGGCAATCAATTCTCTTTGTTGTTATCAGTTTTATTCTCGCATTTAAGAAATAGCATCCACGCGACAGAAAATAAAAAGAGTACATGATATTTTGATTCCATTAAGATTTTTAGCTTGAAATTAAAATCAAACCTGCAGTCAGTCCTTCATAAAGCCGTGTCCCGAAAAAAAAAAAAAAAAGAGTACGGCGAACGTAACATGTAGACAATACACAAGTTGAATGGTACATCTTGTCTAAAATAAAAGGTTTCATTTCAGGGTTAATATACACTGAATTAAGCAAGGCTGTGCACATAAAGGATTTGCCGGAAGCAAAAATACCGCTTTATAAGTTGCCCATTAAATTTTAAAATATTACGATTGTTTGATAAAAATCACAATGTTTTAGAGTTACGTCCGGTTTGTATGAAAAGTTGCGTGACGGTATTAATAGCACAGTCTATGTTGAGAAGTAAACAGTAGAGAAAATTCGGAGAGAAATGTAGTGTAGAAAAAAAAATAATACCACTGTGTAAAGAAGGTAATTGTAAACGAAATATTTACCTAACCATCTACTGCTTTAGTAAAATGCTAAAAATTAAATTGCAACATCTCGAAGCGATCGGCAGTTCCATCTGTTTTGTCCATTGAAAAAACAAACATCGTATATTACTACGGAGTTTACTAATGCTCAAAGAAATGCTTATTAACGAAGGTATATTTTATACAACAAAGAAACACACAATTATGCAAACATTTTGACAATTAAATACACGTGTACTCTAAACCTAATGAAAAATGGTTTTTGAAGTCATTTGACACCAATCATAACGCTCAGAAATATTCAACACTGGGTAATCCGACACACTGTCTAATCCGACATTGATTTTATTTCCCGCAGCATGTCGGATAAGACAGGTTTCACTGTACTTGTAAACACTTTTCGCTTTCTTTTACAACAGCAAATAGACTCACTGAATCAAGTTCAGAAAATTCTTCATCGATGCAAGCAATTTTTCATTGATTCCACCAGAAATTCCTTTATCTCAAGAAGTTTAGACCGCATCGCAGCATGATCTTTGATACCTAGTACCAAATAGAGAACAGAACAGAACATTTATTTTCTAATTTAGAGCCCATAACAGACAAGTATGAAATTATTACAATAATAAAGAAAAGATATGCCAATGGATAGTATAACAACTTGTAAATGACATTACTCATTTCAACAATAATATTGTACTATTTCAGTTAAAGGGAATACTATATATAAAACTGTATGACTACTACAACATGTTATCATTTATGAATTTGCCCACAGAATTAAGAGTTTCTTTGTCTTCAGTATTGAGTAACCAAAAAAGTTTTTGTTCATCATCTAATGCCGAGAAATTTGGAAATTTAATTGATTGAAAAATTTCTTTTCTTTGATGATCATATTTTTTACATGTTATGAGAAAATGAGTTTCATCATCTACACTGTTATAGTTACATCTATTGCATAATCGATCTTCACGAGGGATGTTGGTAAATCTTCCCACTTCAATTTGCAATCTGTGACAAGAAATTCTTAATTTACATAGAGATTTTCTGTGATGAAAATTTTTAACTATACTGATAAATAATTCTCATAACCCCAATTTTGTTTGAGTTTTACATATGTGCTTAATTTACCATCAGTATAACTTTGTTGACTTGTATATCAATTTTTTATATAATAATCTAATATGGTTTTATGACAGAGTGACTTAAATTTATGCTTCCCATAACAAATTACTTCATCTTTGATATTCAGTATATTTCTTAATTTCTGTACAAATGCGAACCATGAGTTCTTTCCATGTACATAAAGATTTTTACTACATTCATATGCATCTTTAAGTAAAGGAAATTCTGTGGACAAATTTTCAAATCTATACCAACTTTTGATTAACAATTTGACAATATATGCAGGGGGAACCTTCCCAATTCAGACAATACTGCAAAATTTGTACTTTTCTTATGAACACCAAGAATATATTTACAGAATTTAAGGTGTATTCTTTCACAAAGTAGATTTCTGAAACAGTCTTCAACTTGTAACTTTTGGCATTTTAGGAATCTTTTAGTATTGATATTACTTGCACCCCACACCTCTGCATTATACAAAAGAATCGGTTTAATAGTAGAGTCAAATACATGTATACTCGTTTTAATCCCAGGATTCAAATTACTAAAATCATTTCTCAGTTTATAATATGCTTTTAACGCCTTTTTATAAAGCTCTGATCTTGCTACATGAAAACTTCCAGATGCAGTTAGGTGAACTCCAAGATATTTGTAACTAGATACACAGTCTATCCTATTATTTTGAAACATTAGTTTTTGCGTGAAATTACGACCAGCTTTATTAAAGATCATGACTTTAGTTTTTTGAATGTTTACCTTTAAACACCAATCAGAGCAATACTTTTCAAGTTTAGAAAGTCTTGCTTGTATACCTTTAGCTGATGCTGATAAAATAACAATGTCATCTGCATACATTAAACAGTTAACAGTTTTTGTCTGAAGTGATACTTCATCAATACATGAATCTAAATATGATGGAAAATCATTTCTAAATATTTTAAATAAAGAAGGGCTGAAGTTATCCCCTTGACGGACACCTATAGCTATTGGAAATGGATCCGAGAAGAACCTTCCAATTTTCACACATGCCTGACTATTCTTATATATATTACTTATAATATTATAAAATTTAGATCCAACATTCATGTGAAGTAATTTGAGCTTTAATCCTGTGTGGATAACACTGTCAAAAGCTTTATGAAAATCAATAAAACAAGCATATAGTCTTCCTTCTTTTAAGCTACAGTATTTATCAATTAAACACCTTAGCACAAATAGATGATCAGATGTTCTTGCATCTTTGGTAAAACCCATTTGAGATTGGTGAATTAGATTATGTTCTTTAAGAAATTTATCTAATCTAGAGTTCAGAATGCTGTTGAATAACTTGCCAAGTGTGCTGGTAATTGTAATACCCCTATAATTTGCAGGGTTGTTTGGATCCTCAGACTTAAAAATTGGACTTATGTACCCATTACTCCAAGTTTGAGGATAAATACCATATATGAAACAACTATTAAAGAGCTTATGTATACAGGAGAGTAAATAGGACTGACTATGTTTTAACATTTCATTAGATATCAAATCAAGCCCCTTGGCTTTTCCATATTTTAAATTTGCTATTGCATCTACAATTTCCTTATGTGAAATCTTGAAATCCAGTTCATTAAAGGATGGATTTTTCTCCATGTCAGCCAAAATTGAATCTAGCTCTTGTATCATTGATTTAAAAGAGTTATCACAAACAGAATGAAGGTTGCGAAAATGATTTACCCACGTTTCAGAATCTATGTTTGCAGCAGAATTGTCTTTATTATTATCTTTTAGGTCATTAATTAATTTCCAATATTGTTTTGGTTGTTTATTTTGAAGTGCATCAAGTTGATTTAGAATGGAGTTTTGGAAATTTTTACGCTTAAATTTTCTTAATTTATTGTACTCTCTAAGAAGTCTGTAGTAATGATTCTTAACAAGTCTTTCAGGGCTAATTCATATAACTCAGACAATATTCTGTTGCTTTTCCATCATAAAAGATTCTATAAATTTACAAATATCCCATTCTGAAACATAGGGACTTGAGATTTGCTAAGATTGTCTCAAGTCCGTGTTCTGAAACATCGTCTTCAGCAAACCTCCCACATTTCACTCCGGACGTGTAACCATGGTAACTGTCGTCGCCTGAGCTTGATCTTTCCCTTTTCTGCATTAGTTCTGATGCTGAAGGGGATGAGCATGGTGATAAATATATATTATTATAACAGTAACTTGATCCGAAGAGCTGTATCACGTCAAGTTGACAGGCGCGGATCATCAGATCAAACGAGACGCGAAGCGTCGAGTTTGATCTGATGATCCGCGCCTGTCAACGAGACGTGATACGGCTCTTCGGATCAAGTTACTGTTATAATGATAAATTTATTATATACCCCTTAACAACTAGCAAAATATGATAAAAGAAAAAACTTTTTGGATCAATTACATAACTTTTATCCATTAAACAAACCATTTTGTGAGGTATAATATGTATGCTGTTTTGGATCTCGTAACCAGCCTCTATAACCAGGCAGAGCGCATGCGTGAAATAAATTTCCATCGAGATCGGAAAACAGCAGAGAGGAAATTCGGAATATATAATGGAAACTAGTAATGCGGAATGATACTATAGTCAGATGCAGAAATTTTTGCATAATTCGATCAACTTTTATTTAAAAAAGCAGAAGAATAAATCAATCAACTTTACAGTTAGTTTTTATTTATTTATTTATTTATTTATTTATTTATTTATTTATTTATTTATTTATTTATTTATTTATTTATTTAATTATTAATTAATTTATTTATTTATTTAATTTATTTATTTATCATTCTAATAATTAATTAACTAAGTAACTGATTAATTTATTAAAAAATATATATTTGTATTTTTTTTTAAATTCATTTATAACATTCTTTCCTTCATTTATTAATTATTCCATCCATTAATTAATTATCTATTAGTCAATTCGTTGATTTATTAATTTGTATGCATGTTTGTTTATTTATTTATTATTCTAGCTAATGATTAAGTAATTGCTTAATTCATCAAGAAGTTCATTTATTTGTTTGTTTATTTA